TATATCTATGTCTATATCTACATCTATACCTGTATCTAGATCTATATCTATACCTATATATACATATATATATTTATATACTTATGTACATACATATATATATACACATACATATACATATATATATATATATATATACATACATATATATATATATATATATGCCTCTCGTATAATCTACCCCAAGCCCTACCCAGTTATTAAGGGCCGTATCGGGCAAAAGACTTTGAGGGGCTCGCGGGCTCTGAGGTCGTCGTGGAGGACCTCAAGGTGCGCTTCTTGGGGAACAGGCCGGGTTGGGCGGGGCTTAGGGTTTAGGGTTTAGGGGTTTGGGTTTAGGAGTTAGGGTTTAGGGGCAACATCGCCACAGAAAGGTGTAGGGTTGAAAATCGTTGGCCCAGCCTAAACCCTAAACCCTAATTTCATTGGTGTCTGTGTCTTACTTCCCACCCACTGTGCGGGGCTGGTGGTGCTGATGGGAGACACCACCGCCAGAGCTAAGCCTAAAGCCCTAAAGCCTTCCTTGAGGTCTTACGATATGAGCTGGATACCTTTGGCCCTGACGTGCTGCTCCTTGCTCCCGTTCCTCGTGCTCCTTCATGGCTTACGGCGGATGTGCTATGAGAAGCGCCAGATGATATCCGCCCTGAGGACCTTCGATCTAGCCAAAGTTGACTGCAAGGTCCCTAGAGACAAGGACTTCATCTATGAAGGCATCCGGATGTGGTACCGGAGCCCAGAAGGCTTCGAAGACTACGTCAGAGGCCCATTAGCAGACGAGCCTTGGGTGCTGATTAGGTACCCTTAAGACGTATTAAGCATCATATGGGGGTTTTCGAAAATTAGGGGTACCGTATTTTGGGGTCCTTATAATCAGGATCCTACTATTCAGGGTACTATATTAGGGTCCCGTATTTTAGGAATCTACCATATAGCCTCTATTTTTCGCATTTTGAAAGCTGCGCCAGTACTGGCTCATGTCCTGGAGCCTCCGCTTAGTTCCCAATACCCAACCTTTAAACTTTTTGGGTTTTTATAATTTGGTAGTAACCTGAAGTTTAACCTTTTGTTTCCCTGGCTTATTGGGGAAGTAAGTCCTTAGCAGAGGAACTTACTCAGCCTTTCTTCTTCCTGACGCTGCCATTGGTGTACTGGGCGATGGCTATGACACCCGTGGTCTCGGCGGAAGCTTGGCGATTTTGCAGGGTTAGTGTCGCGGACTGAATAACTTCTAGCATTATTCTTAGGTTTCCTTCTGACAAACGTTGTAGCGCATACCACAAAACCATATTATCATTGCCAAGGCCTTTTTTTCAGGGGTCAACCCCCGGCCTTTTGTCATACCTCACACCAGCGAGGAACTTAAGATTTCAAAAAGCCAGGACAGATCGCAGCTACAGCCGCACAGCTCTAAATCCTCACCTACTTATTCCTTGGAAACCCAGAGGTTCAAGCTCTAAGCATGTTATGTGTTATATTATGTTACATATGGCATTATTTCATGCAAGATAATATGTCATGACGTGGCATATAATATGATATAGTATGATGCAACTTAACAAGATGAAATATAACACAATATAATGTGTCATAATATGCCATGCGATACTACAATAAAAAATAGAATATAGTACAACATATTGAAATCATTACAGTATAAATTGATGCATTACACAGTATATAGTACAAAATAGAAAAAATAAGACTTGAAATCATGTAATACATGATACGCATGTGTCTTAAGATATGAGATACAGTATATAAATATGATATGCAACATAACAAATATAAAACACATTATATACCATTTAATGCACAATATGGAATACATGATATATAACGTGCATCGTAGCATACATAGTCTAAGATAGCAAAACATAGCATAGTGAATCCAATTTTTAATACAAGGTATAAAAAATATAACAAAAAGATATACTATATTGTGCTGGAACACAATATTTTGTAACACAATATAGTTTCATGCATTATATTTAACTACAACCTGTTTTAGCTTATAACAGATTAGAATGCATTACAGTAGAGCGTCTATTATAGTTTAGTATAGTATACTAATATCATAGAGAATATAATAGAGTATACAATAGAGTATATAATAGTATATATATATATACATACTCTATTATAATATAACATGTTATATAGCATAGCATATAATTTGTAATATAGCGTGAGGTAATGTAATGAGGAGCTTTTACTACTGAAGATCTGTCTTGGGACCTTGTTGTGTAGCTTGTTCAACTTAATCACGTGTGACTGAAGATACCTCTGAGTAGGGTTATGGGTAGTTCTCTAAATTAGGGTCCCTCTTTAGGTCCCCGAT